CTCTGCGATCGCCCGCCCTCAGCCCCCTGAATCCCTCACGTAAATAAAGGCACCGATCCGCAAAGCCTTCCGCCCCCAAAACCACAGACACATGCGTCCACGCATGTACAGAAACGTACAGAAACAACAACACCCACAACAACACCCACACCAACACGCTCACGCAGAAGAGCAACGCCCACGCCCACGCACCCTCACCCTCGCGCCCGCGCCCACGCGCCCCCCTCCGCCGCCGCAGCGCTACACCCGCGGCCGCATCATCGGCCACGGCGCCTACTCGGTGGTGTACGAGGGCACCCAGATCACCACGGGCCGCCTCGTGGCGATCAAGTCCATCCCCAAGGCCGAGGGCTGGCTCGAGGCCGCCGCGCAGCGCGACGGTGCGCCGCCCCGCCGCCCCGCCGCCCCGCCCGCCGCAACCCCTTCCCTCTCTCTCTCTGCCTCCGCGCGCGCGCACGCGCGTGTGTGCCCGCGGCCGCCTGTGTCGCACACGGCCCTCCTCCCGAGCAGCCCCGCGGCCCCCTGCGCCCGCCGCCGCGTCGGCGCGCTCCGACACCGCCGCCCCCGCCGCCCCGCGCGCCCGCCCGGCCCACCTATGTTTACGGTGTATCATATAATATATTACAACCGTTCTCACCCCGTTGCAGGGGTGGTGCGGGAGATTGCCGTCCTGCGGCGCCTGACCGGCCACCCTGGGGCCCTCTCCCTCATTGACCTCTCGGAGGGGCCGGGGCACTACCACCTAGTCACCGAGCTCTGCACCGGCGGGGAGCTCTTCGACCAGATCATCGGGCGGTGAGCGCGATCCGGAGATCTGAGATCCGAGTTTCGAGATCAGCGTTTTCGGGGCCGCGCGGCGCCCTCGATGCCTCACGATTGGGCCCGGCCCTCAGAAGTTGAGGTTGCGCCGCACGCCTTTCCACCTGAGCGTGCGCGCTCTCGCACACAACGTTCGTACACACCACGCACACTCACATGCCCACCCCCACCCACACACACACTCGCTCACTCACTCGCTCACTCACACTCACACACACACACCACTACGCTACCCCCTTCACCCCCGTTCCACAGCGGCCACTTTGACGAGCGCGCCGCCGCCGACCTCGCGCGCGCGCTGCTGAGTTTCATCGCCTTCTGCCACGCCCGCGGCGTGGTGCACCGCGACCTCAAGCCTGAGAACATCATGCTGGCCCACGGCGGGGAGGGGGCGGCGGTCAAGATCGTTGACTACGGGACGAGCGCGTTCTGCTTGCCCAATGAGCGGCTGCACGAGAAGCTGGGGGTGAGGGGCTGTGAGAGTGGGGCCGACAGGGTTGTGTGTGTGTGTGTGTGTGTGTGTGTCGTGTGTGTCTCTGTGTGTGTGCGCGTGTGCGTTTGTGTGCATGTGACGATATGTTGCCTGCTGTGGGTGCGTGCAGGGCAGGTCGTCTCCGGCTAACATTCAGCCGAGCAGCGCCCCATGCACACACACGCACAGTTTCACACACACAACCACACACACATTCATATACACAAACAGCAAGTTGGTCAAACACGACCTCAAGGACAAACACACACACAAACACACAAACACCTCCACACACGGCCGCCTCACACGCACGCACGCACGCACACACACACCCGCCCCCAGACCCCCTACTACGTCGCCCCCGAGGTCCTCCTGAAAGACTACGGCTGCGCCGCAGATGTCTGGAGCGCCGGCGTCATCACCTACATCCTGCTGTGCGGCTGCCCGCCCTTTGGGGGCCGCAGCGACGAGAGGATCCTGTCAAAGGTGGCGCGCGGCAGCTACAGCTTCGCCGGCAGGGTGGGTGGGGTCCGGCTGAGCTCGCTTGGGTGTGTGTTTGGGGGTGTGAGGGGGTCGGAGGGGAGAGGGAGTGTGCACGTGTGTGTGTGGTTGTGTGTGTGTGTGTGTGTGTGTGTGTGGCCACACAGCAATGTGTCTCGTTCAGGCGCTCGTCGGCTTCCGGTTGCGCCGCACGATTACTGGGCGCGATACTCAGGCCGCGGGCCTGTCCCCTGCCCGTCCGTTATGACAGCCAACGCCGGCCCGACAGCCCGTGTTCAAGTCTTTCCTCGCGAACCCACCCCGCGCGCAGGAGTGGGATGGGGTGTCCGAGACCGCCAAGAAGTTTATCACCCTCTTGCTCGCGCCAGAGGCGGAGCGCCCGACCGCCCAGGCGCTGCTCTCGCCCCCCTGGCTCACCGACCCGCCCGCCAGCGCCGCCCCCGCGGCCGCCGCGCCGGCCGGCGC